AAAGCTTCACCCTACTAGGAGTCGATCCACTGATCACGCGATTAGCAGCTCCGAGAGTTAACAAACTAGGCCAAACGCCCAACCGTAGAACGGTGTTGTTTAGAAGGTAATATGTCTGCTGAATTCGTTTGGATACATTGTGTGGTCAGTCTCCTATTCAATTTTTTGCTACGTGTTCAGGATCGTATTTCTAATATTGTGGCAATGTTGACATGCTCAATAATTTATTATTACTGTGTCTCCTAATAGTTTTTTTTATTGCGCTTTGCTGATCGTTTTATTGCAAGCCTGTTGAAGATACGCGAACATAGTCTCCGTAAAGTCGCTAGGCATCCATAATAGCCAACGAATGCAATCCAATCCAATCCACAACATCGTTTTGCACGTTTCGCTGGTCGTGTTGGCCGTGTATGTTTAATATCTCTGTCTTAAGGTAAATCTACCGATTAGTCGGGATGCGTGGAGTTCTCCCGAGTTTCATATGTGTCCGAAAAAGAAGGAAGCGACTGTGAGCCGTGGAACTACGTCAAATCTGCTCAACAGCCGAGATTATGGCACGGTCGTTCGAAGTAAGTTGGTTTCTTTCTTTGTTAGGGCTAGATTATTGTTTCCTCCGTTCGAAATGCTTGTTATTATCTCTAGATCACTTGCTTTTACCATTAGTACTAATTTTGCGCGAAAGGTGTTATGCGAGGCAGATTTTCTTCTTTTTCTCGATGCAGACCACTCCATTCTCGCGCTAATTATCGGTCTCAGATGAGCGCTTAGGCTGCGTACTCGCTCCAGGTCCATCAGTAGCGGCGGAAATGGTTGGGACATGGGGCGGGCGGGCGGGTGGGCGGGCAGGCAGGCAAAGGTGGAAAAGAAGCGCCTGCTTGATCAATCAATCGCTGCCTTTCGCCTCCCTCCACCGTATTTTTTCCTGTTAAACTAGAATGCCTGTAAGAGCGCGGTGCCCCTTCAATGCCGAAGCTCTTGGTTTGACACTGCGGGTCGATTCTGTGTGCGTACTTGCGTCCGGAGAGCTGGGCCCGGCAAAAGGCACCGATTGATTGATCGAGCAGGCGCGTAGGTTCCGCCGCCCAGTCGTCTGCAAATGACTGGGCGCTTGCATTGACCACATGCAAGTGCAGACTCTCAACTCGCATGAACAGAGAAAAAGGAAATATTGAATGCGGAAGGAGCTCGAGCAGAGGCCAAAGTGGAACGCGCTGATTCACCCATTAGCAAAAGCAGATTTTATAAACATAAGTTCCTCGTCAGTTAAGGTAACAGATGGATGGCTAATACATCAAAACAACTCAATCCTTCTCTAAAATTCACGATGGTCAGTCAGCTATCTATGCACTGTTTACACTGCTCATGTATGTCATCCTTAGAAAAAACGTGAATGATTAGCATATACTATAAAAACATACAAGAGGTTTATTTTAGGCCATCATTATTCATAGTATGGTCCACCAATAATGTCTGCACATTCGCTTTTACTTGAGCTAGCAAGGAAATTGTTTTTAGACTTGTGCATATCGGTGGGATTAGCAGGTTCAACTTAGACCTGTTTGAACTTTTGCTAAATCTCCTTCCGCATTCTTTATTTTCCTCTTCTCTAATTTATGTGACTTTAACGTCTGCACTTGTATGTAGTGTATGCATTCCTACCCTTCATTCCTTGTTTTTTTTGTACTATTTTTTAAGATGTTCAATTAGACTGAACTCACCTCTTTACTAGATGGAAAGGCTGTTGTTAATTCCAGAATTTCTATAAAACAACCTACCTGAGACCTTTGCCTCGCGCCCCGCTTCCTGAAGCTCAGTTCTTCGAGCACAGCCTTCCTGATTTCTCTGATCCTCTCTTCTTTCCTTTTATGTTCAATAGATTGAGTTGCTAGTGTGCACCTGTCTGTGTCCTACGTGTTCCTGTTCTTTTGTTGGTCCATGATATCTTTTATTGTATATTCTACTGGGTGCTTTCATCTTTATACTTACTGCAGCCGTTGCCAAGCAGAAGTTGGCACTCACTTTCACTATCCTGATGTGAGTGTCCTGAGACGACACACGACGACAGTCTCCTCTGCTGAAATCCAGACTTCCTGTAAGACTGCCAAGGCTGTTTATGGTAAGGTGCTCTGCATATTGGGCAATATATTAGCAACTTGTTGCTGCTAGGATTGTTTTTAATAAAGACTGTGTTTATGGGCTGGCCTTTGGCAATTCTGATTCCACTCGCTTAGAAGGAAAGCCTGTAGGGAACTTGCGCATTACATTCGTACGCGGAATGCAGAGTTGACAACAGAAGTGCATGACTACTTGCATTCAGTGTTGATGTGTGTGTTGTATTTGTATTTTCTATTTGTTCATTTAGTGTTCCCAATAATGGCTAAAGCATTCCCATTGGTGCGCTTCGTAGTAGCAACACACAAACACAAACAGACGGCGAGAGTGGTGAACAGTGCCACTCTCGTTCTTCGCCACCGTGCCTAGTGGTTTTCAGAGAAGTTTCCAATATTGCTCTCTATGATATTTCGTCATATATCGCACATAGACACAACCAGAACGCTGTACCTACAATTCAACACTCACAAGACTTGCGTGAATACACCCTGTAGCTGGTCGCACTTTCAGAGTCATTTTAATGTTGCAAAAACAAATAATGCCATTGCCTTATTTGTCGTGCCGAATTCTGGCACACCTGTTCCGAACTCTGATCTCCACGAACTGCCGACTTTTTGCATAGATTCTTGTACATCTCTCTCTCACATATGTCCGAAAACATTTTACTTGGTCTATCAAGCCGTGTAGTCAAGAAGCTATGACCTATAATACTCTCCAGAACACTCCTGATTTGCGAAGCTTTGCGGTAGATTTATATAAAAAATATTCCGTGCTATTTTTTAACCACGAATACTTGACTGTAGGAGCATGGTATGCATTCGACATACTCTCTTTGACAAGCTACAGCATCATAAATGTCATGTCCACGACCCTAACTATACCTATTAAGTTTATGGCTGACGGTGTCATGGAAGGTGTGTATGGGCTGGACCAAACAGCATTTTTAAACGCGGATCCCGAGTACGTGTTGGAAACAACCGCCGCGTCAGTGATTGGCGTGGATAGACGTGAGGGCAAGGTCAGCGTTCCACGTGGATTTCGATCCAATCACAGCTTTCGTGTCCAAGAAACGGCGACCGTCAATGTTGCTTGCTTAGGTTTTGAAGATGGTATATTGTTCTTATGTTCACCAGGTACATGGGAATGAAACTCCAGCCATCTTGGAGCATAAAGTGGCTTCTTTTCTTTTAAGGCGTTAGTTATATAGTCCCAGCCACGCTCGAGGTTGCATAATAACCCCGCACTCAGGTAAAAAAGTGGCACGCATTGCACCGCCAACCGAAATCAGTGGGCACAACTAGTGTCACTATATGAAGCTACGCTTCAGAGTATCGGCACTCTTTTCCCCCATTGTCCTACCGCCGCCTCGGCGGTCATTCGTCCGTTCAGGTCACGTGGGATTTGTTTTCGCGACGACGGCTCGTGGGTGCTGCCATTTTGGCTCGTAGAGCTTCGTCGGCTTCGTGTGCGTACTGACGGCGGGAACGGGCGCTGGTGGTGACGGTCTTGCGCGTGAAGTGAGATGGTTTCCTGACTTCATGCGCTAGACAAGCGGACAAGAGACAGCAGCAATGCCGTTTTGCTCTGTCGCGGGCTGTTTTAGCTCTCAGGAGAATGGAAAGCGCCTGATGCGCTTTCCGTTGGACAAAAAAGACGGAGTCCGGCTGCAAGCTTGGGTGAAGCTCACCGACCGCGAAGATTTTCAGCCTACGCCAAGCTCAAGGGTCTGCGAGGTATGTTCCTTTCCAGCAGACGTCTCATGTAGAGAGAGATGTCTTTTTGAAACCGTTCATTACATCATGACGTGCGGGTGCCGTCCAAAACAGGCTCGTCGAGCGCATTGTACAGAAAAGTGCTCCCGCCAGTGCTTGCCGTGCTTCTCGGTTGTGAAAATAACTCTTCAAACCAACTTGCCACCGTTTCACTCATAACTGGTTCAAGCGCTTTTGATGGGAACATGCGCTTGCACTGGTCAAGCGCTCGTTTTAGGGGAGCATTCGTCCCGTCGAAATCGCTCGCCCGTGTGCGGTTCGCGCAACATATCGTTCTCGGAATCCTTGAAGCGACAACTTGGGAGTATTATACAATGTCATGGTAACTTTTCCCGCGTCTGGATCTATTCACACCGTTGTGTTTGGCTATGTTACATCGAGATTCGAGAGCGAGATATCGGGGAGTCCGTGCTTCATGTACAGTCTCCGGCGATATGAAAGACCCACTGGGAGCGCGTGGCCGAGGCAGTGGCTGGCGGGGGCGCTACGAGCGCTCCGGGCAGTTCCGTTCTGCTTCGAGGGGAGGACGCTCACTCGGGGCTCACCTAAAGTGCGCGCTTATCAGTTTGTGCTGAGCCCCGAGTGAGCGTCCTCCCCTCGAAGCAGAATGGAATTGCCCGGAGCGCTCGTAGCGCCCCCGCCAGCCACTGCCTCGGCCACGCGCTCCCAGTGGGTCTTTCATATCGCCGGAGACTGTACGTACGATGTGTTAAGCTACCCCGTGATTTATTTGCCCTGCAGTTTTGGAAGCACACTTTCCTGATAACCCGTAGTTTTATCTCGACGTAATTGCACGCAGTTAGTGTTTTTTTTTTTATTGGAAATCTACACGCAACGACTTCAAACGTAGACAGACGCTACTGTAATGCGTCTGACTCCATCTGCAAATTGTGGAGTGGTCTGGTATAGAATGCCAATATAAACTCGAAGTTGCTGTGCTTCCAAAATTGCGAATCTAGCTAGAAATATGAAAATGAGTAGAGTGTATCGTTGTAAATTATTCATCTAAACAAATCGTGTCCCCTTTAGTGGTCTTCACCTTGTATATTTTTTTATTAGGATCATTTCGAGAACTCGGAGTTTGAAGGAAAAAGGGTGGATGGTCGACTGCTGCTCAGGTGGAATGCTGTGCCGACGATTCCACCATCTGACGGCACACAGAAAAAAGCAAGAGCCAAAGTCCGGAAAAAGTCAACCAACGATCACCTCCACGGTATGTAGTCCTCTTAGTGTGTATGCATGTTCTTTTAGTAACTTAAACAGCTAAAATGATACATAATTTATCCATTTCAAGCAGCAACCAGCCTTGATGCACTGACCGAATCGCAAAGGAGAGCATTGCCTGAGGTCACGCCAGGGCAAGACAGCGCAGTGGAGTCCTCAACAGCAGTACTCGATATCCAAGCTGCACCCGAGGAATCTGGTAAGTTTCAGTCGGAGAACGAAATTACAAGCTGAATTAACTGAGGAATTCAGGCTGTTGTACTAAGCCATAATTACAGTCTCCTAAGCTCTACAGAGCTTCCACAAGGAGATTGTTTGAACTCCATCATCATTGACTTCATCGCTTTCTGACTTCTGGTGCTGTGTTATCTGCTGTGTCCATCCAAGCGATCAGAAAATTGTTCACGTTGAACAATAGACCAATCCCGCTAGGCGTTCAGCGCATGCGTGACGCCACCATAACTTTAATTTACAGGAGGCAGACGGCCGTGCACGTGAGGCCTCATGCCGTCTCGTGCTCCACGTGCGCAGAGCTCCAGCGGGGTTGTCGGACAGGGAGAAAGACTAAAGTTAAGTGAGGAGCGAATATTTGGTTATTACGAATAGCCCATCGAATTCTGTTCTATTCAGTATTCCCTTCAAATCGAATTTAAGTATTCGACATTATCGAACTATTCTACCTTTCCGAATACTCTAGCTTGAATATCTGGCCAGGTGGCACAAGCTTAGGACCATTTAAACCATTTCATGCTCCCACACTCGGTACACTTGACATTAACAGTTAGAGAACTTCTAGTACCAAGTAAGGGCAAATATAAAACCATAGTTTAAAGATACCTTGGGGTATTTGTTGCTTGTACTATTCAATTCGAAATTATTCGACCAAAATCACTATTCGCTTCAAATTCGATTCGGACCCCAAATCCTCTATTCGCCCCTGCCTACTAAAGTTTCCTCTATGCATTGCGGCAGCGGTGGCGTAGTCAAACAGACTGGCGAGATTGGCCCATTGTAGTATTATAAGTTTAGTGGTCGTACAAGCGGGAATTCGGAGCGAGAGAAGTGCGTGCCCCACTCACGGTGGCGCATGCTCGGCTCATGCTGGTATCGCTTGGTAACAGTTGACCCTGAGATTTAGATTAAATGAGGTGACAATCACGGGTCTTTCCTCGCCTTCGGCGGGCCCGTGTTCTCGCGGGCCCTGCCATCACCGGGTCGTGCCTTCAACACGCCTCAAACCCGACCGTGACCACTGCTGCAGCAGTAACAGCTGCTTTATCCCTGCAGCAACAAGGCAAGACATCGCCACCACCGGCATTCAAGGCCATCCACATAATCCTGCGCTGGTACACGACAGCATCTCTCGGATCACCACCTCACTGCTAGCATCGGCCACCTCGAAAATACAAGAACAGTATTAGCTAGCTTGGGGCAGTGTAGAGCCACTATATAAAGCTACGCTTAGTGAAACTAGTGCAGTGTACAGTGACTTGCATCACTATAAAGTAATTTATGCATTTCCAGCATCTACGAGCCCTGCGGCAGCCAGTGAAGGGCAGAGCACGTCTTCCCTTGGAACGCCAGTACAGTTGTCAATGGTGGAAACAGAAATCTCAACTACGACTGAGGAAACTAGTAAGTACCAGCTGGAGAGTAAAGATAGGTGAAATGGAATAACTAAAAGAAAGCTAGGTGAAAACCAATACTGTCTTTTAACTTATTACAACTGGAAACTTATTTGGGAACTTTCTCACGAATGCGTGACCGCATTCTGGAGTTTGAAAATATCCCATTGGACACTTGGGCCATGCCTGATGAAACTAGTAAGGGAGGATAGAGCTCACTTGTTGGTGCAGCTATTGATACATATATCCAGAATAATATGCATAATGTTATTATCATTAATAGGTTCATTCTTGGACTTGGAAAATGAGACGTGTCCCCAAACGGCCAAGGTGGAAGACATGGAACTGTCTGCAGCGAGCGGTAAGGGACAACATGGCTTTTGCTTTAATGTTGCTTATGAAGGCCTCAGCCTCAGGAACAACATGGCTGAGATCGCTGGAAACACAAGTTTTCGGACACTAATATATTTTGCTTTCATTGTACAATGAGGTACTCCACATGTCTAATACAGACAAACTTGTGGATCTATTGCACTTTCAGCAAACGCAGTGCCCTCGGATGACTCTGTGAGAAGTGAGCAACAGCATAAGGTTCCAGGCGCGTGCGAAACTCTTGAAAAGGTATGAAAGATGCTACTACTTTTTGTATAGAAAATAGGCCATATTAATTCCATTTTCGTTCTCTTGCCACCTTTGCACATTGTTTCTGCATCTTTGCAGATTAGCAGTGCCCTGTAAATTCCTTACTTTTAGTATACCATTTTAAACATCAAACAGCCTGTAGTCACTGTTTTAACGAACTTGGTAAACCTCTCCCTTTGTGCTTTCACCCTGCAATAATGTTTGTTATTATAAATTTATGTCCACCTGTTTTGTAAAACCACGTCGGAAACAATCGCGTTACTATGCAACAGTATAATAGACCGATCTCACCAGCGAGTTTGACTACGCCACCGCTGCCGCAATGCATTGAGGGAACTTTAGTCTTTTTGCACGCGCAGCAACCTCGTTGGAGCACTGCGCGTGTAAAGCACGAGAGGGCACGAGCCCTCGCGTGCACGGCCGTCCGCCTCCTGAGAACTAAAGTTACGGCTACGTCAAGCATGCGCCGAACGCTTAGTGAGATCGGTCTATTGGGCATGCATGGGAAGAGTTAAAAGTCTCATTGCCTCAAGAAACTGGCTTCCTCAAAGAGTCTTCTTCGTCGAATGTGTGCTGCCCTAGCTGCTTCATTTCAATTACCCAGCACTTGACGGCACTTACCCAATCACTGGACTGGGGAGAGGAGTGGTTGGACTGTTCTATTAGCCTTCTGTGGTTGTATTGATGATTGGAACATTTTGTGAGGCAAGAACTCCTTTCAGGAAGCACCATGCAGTGGACATCTGTGTGTGCACCAGACTACTATTGTAGAATTGCAGCGCAAGCTAAATCTACAGCAGAAGAAGATAAGGAAGCTGGAAAAGGAGTTGGAGGCTCTTCTAGGTGAGCATGTAATTATTAGCAGTTAGTATAAGAATTGTACAATTGTGTGGAATGCTGATGATCAGAGGCCGACAAGAAGCGTTTCATCCTAAGACATCTTGGCTAAGGTATTCGCAAGTTACAAGCATCGTAAGAAGAGACGAAATAAACCTATACAAACCATTTTTTAAGAAGGAGGAGAAAAGTCAAGGGTGGAACCCGTAAAATGTACTTGGGAGCAGCCACGGGAGCAGCTGAAACAGCTGTTTTAGAGCAGGTTGGGCGCAGCTAAAACTACGTTATGGAGCAGGCTAGGAGCAGCTCAGATCAGTTTTCATTGCACTTCAGCTTGTGTCTTAGACGAGCATGGGAGAAATTTCAATCGTGCTTAGCAGCACAGATGAACACGAGTGGTTAGGGACCTAGGTAGGTGGGATAACAGTGTAACAGATGCGAAAACTTGAAACTTTGTGAGCTTTAATGAGAATCAAAAAGCAAGTACCCTATGTTTCTGAAGATAGTGTCCTTCATATTTTCTGAGTGGCTTTCAGCTGCTCAAAAAGCAAACCAGCACTGCTTATCGCACAACCCAGACGTGTTCGACATAGTAATTATATGTGCAAACCATGTGACGTGCGTAAGCAACGGATGTTCAGTTGCACAAGGAAACAACAGGGCAACAAATTTCGAGTTTATCCTATTGTGCAACTAAATATCGAAGCAGCAGACTACGATTAACGGAGTTATCATATCTGAAGCGATAAGCAGGAGCAAGGTTAAAGTACGCCGAGTAGATCTACCACTCGCGTAAAAGCTGCTGGCCGGCAAGGTTTCGGGTTGGACCACGTTTCAGCTCTATCAAATCACGATTTATCTTGCGAGAATAAGGTTGAACTTCTAATGATGTACTAAACGGAATATTTTGCTCTTTTTTTAGACCACCTGAGACTGGGTGGAAGAAACATGATGACGTCTCAATTTTTGAGACGTCGTCGTGTTTCTTCCACCTAGTCTCAGGTGGTCTAAAAAATGGTAAACTTACACCAGATCGCCTGCGCCCTAACTATTTTTTTTTATTGTTTTTATTTTGCTCATTTGTCTCCAACTGAGGCTCTGCGGCCCGGGATCCGGATCCCGGGCCGCAGAGCCTCAGGCAATCTGACGCTTAACGACTCAACTTCACCTCAGCCGACTTGCTTAACCGCTTATGGTTGAGGAATAACAATCCAGTCGCAGGTGGTGTAGCGCTTGGAATCCGAGTTCTTTCGCGTGCTTCCGACTCAAGATACACAGGGAGAATAAACAGAACAAAGGATTACAAGGCCGACCAGGCTAAACGTGCCCATTGTTGCCCAATCGAGTTAATAAAACTGAAAACAAGGCAAAATAAAAAGTTTTTTGGTGCACGTCTTGCGATTTGGCGCATAATGGCGCAGGGTATTGGCAGTGGCGCAGTTTCTGCGACATGGCGCAGGATGGCGCAGACACATGCATCTAGCGCAACATGGCGCAGCTGTTCCACCCCTGAAAGTGTTGTTTTCTTATAGGTAAATAACGACCTCCGTCGTTTGACTATAAGTCAATAAAATTAGCTACGTCAATAAAATTAGTCTCGTTAACCATGTTGAATGAACCTGAGACTGGGACAGAAATGAACATATAAGTTCAAGGGACAGAAAAGGACAAGAAGAAGTCTCAAACGCAAACGTTACCGTCTCGCGGACGGCACGAACCGATGCCCCGGCAGTGGCGTCTCGGCAAGCTTGCAACTGGGGCCGCCGCTGACAGATAGCGTCTGGCCGGGCTCGCTTCGCGACGATTGCCCATACTCTGCCGGGACGCCGGGAGCACTGAAGGTGCGCTCGAAGCGTGGAAACGGCGTTACGTAACGAAAGGCAAAGGCCATCTACACCACGAACGGGCAATTCAGCCGATGCAAAGGCGTGCGTGCATGTAAACAACGGTAGAAATGTGCCGTCGCTCGCCGTTATGAAATGCGTCTCGCAAACTCGGTAATCCGCGGCCGCATCCCCTTCCTGCCGCTCGTACTTTTTCTAACTTCACGGCTACTCTGCCTCACGGGGCATGCCGACGAAACGAACGATAGACCTGAGACTGGGGCAGAAATGAACATATAAGTTGAAGGAACAGAAAAAAACAGGGTGACGTCTCAAACTGTGCTACCAGGTTTATTTATTCCGCCTCCTTATATAGCCCACAATCAGCCACCACCAACACAAAGGGGCAACCTTTAAATGTAATAAACCGCTCCTGCGCATTGAAGCATGTTTGGCCCAGAGCCATATAGTATGTGTAGGGAGTTTGGCCATTCATTGGGAAGTATAGGAGACAAATGAGGAGGCACCATTGGCCGAAAGTATGCTGGACGTGTTCCAGGGCTTCTTCACAAATTTGAATGTGGCTTGCGAGAAGCCAGAAATAATACCCTGGCAGTGGTCGTAAGAAACAAAATAATAAGTGCCTCGGAGTAGCTCTCTGTGACTGAAAATATGGTGCACGTGATGTTTCTATCACAATCATTTTCTGCAAGGAAGCTAAGTGCGGTGCCCACTCGGCCACAGCACATGCATGTGGCATTATGATGCTAACAAAATTGCTTGTCCAATGCTTTGGGTTTTTACTCTCCATGCTGCAGTTCCTGCAACAATGGAAAGGCTTCAATCTCACCGTTTGCTCATGTATTTTTTTTTTTTTTTCAGGCAGTAAACATGGGCATCTTGCTCCCGACCAAGTGCTCTGTGTTCGGAACGCTGACAAGCGTGGCAACAGGTGGAGCAACCAAACAGTGCAAAAGGCTCTGCAGATGAGGCTGACGTGTGGTAGTAGGGGGTACGAGCTCCTCAAGGATGAGGCTCTTCCTCTGCCATCTGAACGGACACTGCAGAGACGCATCGAGGTGGTGAAATTTGAGCCAGGTGTGTAGGTCAATGCCATTTTGAGATTTATCATGGCATGTTTAGATCTGCTACATACCTGCTTCTTTTCAAGGAATTCTCGAGGAGATCCTTCCGGCACTCAAGTCTAAGCTGGAAACCATGCGACCGGAGGAGAGACATTGCGCCCTCTTGGTGGATGAGATGCAGGTTACTGCTGGGTTGGATTTTGACCCAACAGTAAAGAAACCAATTGGCCTGGTAACCGTTCCACTTGCAAAACCTGCCCGCTCGGGTGACTTGAACTTCGCTACACACGGCCTGGTCATCATGCTCACTGGGCTCTCCTCTCGTTGGAAGCAGGTTGTTGCTTACCACCTGACAGGCAAGCATCCGTTTCTACGTGTATGCCTACTCAACTATATTAAGCCAGGTTGTAGTATGTCTTATAATCTGATGTCTGCCAACTTCTAAAAAGGCAATCCTTTGCATCTGATACTAGGTAGCTTAGTCGACGCAAAATATATGGGACGAGCTAGCCAGCTATGTTTACAGTGAACGCTTGTCTGAGCAAGCTGGTGCAAAGCGGTGAAGCTTGAAGCACGGACTGGAGCCAAGTTGTGAAGTTTGACGAAAGGAAATCTGGTGGTTCAAACAGCACTCGTCATTTCCAAACATTTGGAGACATGAAATAATGCAGACAGTATTAGTTGAGATGTAAACAGTATTGAATAGAGATGCAAACGGTATTAGCGATGCAATTTAAGAGCTACCAGGTGTTACCATATTACATTTACAAACCTTTTGGGTACTAATGCATTGTTATCTTGTTTCACACTTTTTTACTCTCCAGGGGATTCAGTTCATGGGTCGTTCTTGAAGGAGCTAATCTTTTCTGTGATTAGAAAGTGCGAAGAAGCCGGCTGTCGTGTGGACGCAGTAATTTCCGACATGGGACCGAGCAGCAAAGCCCTTTGGAACCGCTGTGGGATCTCTGCAACCCGGACAACAGCACCTGTAGTCTCCTGCCTCCACCCATGCGCAGCCGACACCAACCGACAACTGTTCTTCTTGGCTGATGCACCACATGTTCTGAAGAACATCAGAGGTCATCTGGTGAGAGGACAGTCGTTCTTTTTGCCAGGCGACACTGTCGCCAAATACAATCTCCCAACGAACGAAGTAAGTAGAAGTGCAAAAACCATCTGCATTTGTGCAGACTGACCTCAAATTTAATGCCTGTGCAGTCATCAATTATCTGAATCAGGTGATTTGTATTTAATAATTTTCTATTTTCTTTTGTGTCTCTTAGGTGTCGGTGGAGCACATCAAAGCACTGGCCGAAATTGATGCTGCGAGGGACCTCAAGCTGGCACCTCACCTCAAGAGTAGCTACTTGGACCCTAGCCACTTTGAAAAGATGAATGTGGCATCAGCGGTAGCCGTGCTAAACCACAGTGTTGGGGCCGCAATGCGGGTGCTTGTCTGTTTGGGACTCCTTCCACCGGAGGCCCTCACAACTGCCTGGTTTGTTGAGCAGGTCTTCCATTGGTTCTCTCTAATGACCTCGCGGGGAATTAGTATGGGAATGAGCCTGCTCAAGCAAACCTCTCATGACGAGGCAGTTACTTTCTTAGAGGAGTTTATAAGGTTCTTCTCGCGCTTGTCGATAAGGAAAAAAAACCAAGGCGCATGCTTCAAACCTGTGCAGGCAGGAGTGTTGATCTCAACAACAAGTGCATTGTGCATTCAGCATGAGTTACTCAATGAGCACAAATTTAAGTTTGTTTTGCTTGGCCGGTTCACACAGGATGCTCTCGAGAACCTGTTTTCCTGCGTCCGATCGAAGAATCCAGTGCCAAGGGCCCTGGAATTTAAGCTCACTCTACGGCTCATAATGTTGTCTCAGTTTTTCAAGCCTAGCCGCAAAGGTAACTACGCAATAGATGACAGTTCTGACTTGCTCGAGTTTGTCGAAATCAAGAAAGCTGCGTCAGAAAAAAACCTCGAACACGCATTGGATGACTCCTTGGCAGAGTACAACTTCCTGGAGAATGAAGCTGCGGGTCTTGACGATGTGGAGATGGAGTCTCTTGTTTATGTCTCCGGCTACATCACTCGTAGTGTGACCAAGAAATTCAAGCTGTGTCGTACATGCAAGGATTACTTAAAAACTGATCCAATGGAAGAAAACGACCATCTTCTGAACATGAAATCCTATAGGTCACAATCTAAGCCAAACCCCCTGGTCCGCCCCTCTCGCCACGTTTTCAGTTTGTTCGAACATGCAGACAAGGTCTTTCGTAATTATGAACAAAATGTGCTCGACATTTCTCTGGCGTTTCTGACCAAGGCCACACTAGAGTCCCACCAACTCCCGGGGGACTTTCCTAACTGTCACGACCTCAAACAGCGTTTGACAACAGCTTTCTTAATGCTTCGGTTAAGAATCACGCTTCGAAAGCTGAGCAGCAGGGCCAAGATGGTGAAATCAAAATGTGGATCAAAAAGTGTTGGGATGAGGGCAGCTGTGTCCCAGATTCGCTGAGCACCATAAAATCAACATGATTATTGTCTTTTGACATAGAAGGTATAACAGCTTCGAAAAACAAACTACAAAAGAAACACGAGCGACATGACGAAAGCTGTTGGGTATCACTTTTGATCCTGTCGCTTGGGTTTCTTTTGCTGTCCTTGGCTTTTGAAGCTGTTATACCTACCATGCCAAACTACTACCGTCTCATGATTCTTTTTTTACCTAATTTAAGTCAGAATAGGCTTGTTTATGTATAATTGTTTTATTTATTTGTAAGGGTTTGTTCTTGTATAAATGTTTGATTTATTTGTAGGGGTTTGTCTTTGTATAAATGTCTTGTTTATTTGTAAGGGTTTGTTTTTGTATGAATGTCTTATTTATTTGCAAGGGTTTGTTTTTGTATAAATATTTTGTTTCATAGTACAGCAAAGTTAACCACTTTTGAAACATTTAACTTTTTTTCATGCCTCGTTACGAGACAAAAATGCCCATCTTTTTTTTTCAATTCGTCTCCGAAATAGTTGTCTATATTGCTGGGAATCTATTATTGGGTACAAAATTAAAGAGAGAATACTGGACAGCCCGTCTGCTTTTACATATCACATTCCTTGTGATTAAGGTATCGAACACTTTTGCTCTTGTGCGTGTTCGTTGAATAATAAATTGTTATTGATAACTTTTTTTCTGATCCTTGTTTTTTTACGACCTGTTGTGTAGGAGTGCTAGCTCATTTAAAATTGCTACTGCAGAACCGATGTAAAAAGAAAAACATGTATATGATATTGAAGATGTCAAAAATTAAATTTATAGCATACTCAATTATGAAGCGACACTTCAGCATTGCTGCATAAACAAATCCGCCCATGTTTTCCTGACTATCCTTGAAAAAACGAACGTGACGAGCCCCAGCTGAAATTGTGGCTGGCTTGAAATATTACCCAACCGAGAGAATTATCGCTTCATTGCCCCCGAAAATTACGGTACTGGGCAATAACAATGACATAGAGATCCCCTTAGAAACCTACGCAGACTCAAACTCGCCCAAGCTGAAGTTCTGACCTACGCAGATGGCCGTCTTTCATCGCAACCTGAGACATGATTGTGTTTCTGCTGAAGACTCAAGTTATTTTTTATCGGAAAATAACAACCTACAAAACTATTGAAACTTTGGCTCAAGTTGAGCTTCTGAAAATAGGTCTAATACCTCCACTTTTTTGTTTCTATTGGGAACATAAACGAGGCTTCAACCGCTCACGCGCAAGCGAAACCGAAACCAAAACCGTCGGCGTCTGGCAACATTGGTTTTACGACCCAAAATGGCGGAGTGACGCTACTCTAAGCGTAGCTTTATACAGTGGCTCTAGGCACAACTTCTCATGTTCTCTGCCCATTACGCCGACCGAAAATTTCAGGGCGCGGGTGGGGAGAGGAGTGGGATCATGAAACACCATCTAAGGGGCTGGGCTAGGAGGCAAAGAGGGCTGGAAAGAGAAGAGCGAAATCGCAAGGCGAACGGTCAGCCAGTGAGCGCACTGTCAGGTTCTCCTGAGCCGGCCAAACAATCTTCGCCAGAAGCCGTCGCTACAAGAGGGCTTGCCATCCAGTACCCCTTGCAGTTCGACAGCGGCAGAATCAGGAGACGTAACAAAAGAGCTTGACAGCTCGAGCAGCGTAGTACTGTTGTTTGGGCGCTTCCCAGGACGTTTGAAAATGATTCGATCAAAAAACGGGTTAAACTAACGAAAGCTTACTTTAATCAATATGCACGAAGCAGCATCTCATGAAAAGAGGATCTCACCACCAAATACATCTGTTTCTCCTCCTCCTTTAATTTTTGTTTTGTAGATGCATTTCTACGACGATTGATGTCAAGGTGACGTGGAAAGCCTGGGGTGACAACAGAGTGAACCAGGACGTAAGGCCAAGCGTCGCTGTGAAGAACCTGGCCATTGCTCTGTGGGGGTCCAGTGTCCTTCTGCAGGGGACTGTGACCGAAATGGCGTCGAATGTCAGTCTGAACAAGGACAGCAGGCTGCGTCTGACACCCAAGAAAGTGGCATTCCCAGGAGTCTAGTGCCAATTATCTCACGTAAGCGTAACTTAATCAGTTATTTAAAAAAATCTTCTCAATCAAGGCCTGATCTTGGTAGCTATTTGGTTTTATACTGGGAGTTCACAATGCTTCTGTGGTCTTTGGATGGACCGCATAAAACTTACGGGATTGAGCACACAGGTGTAACATAATGGTGCAAGCTTTCAGTAAAATTATGGTAACGTTAGGTAACCTCAGTAAAGCACAAAAGCTATATTTTCTTATACTTTACGTGCAAACATTATATTTTTTTGTGCCACTGGTCTTTATTCTGGCTATATGAAGTAAGCAATGCGTAGGGCACTTCCTTTTTATTCCAATCATTTTCAGTTTCAATACGTGCCACAGTGGCCCTGAATAATATCTGATGTCTTCAGAAAAAAAAGGCTCTGCGAATTTTTTTTTTTTTTTCAAGAAGAGAATGGTTGCAATTTGCAACAATTATCTTCTTTCTTCTTCTTTTTGACTCAAGGGGGTTTATGTCCTGATCTTTGAAATGATGAAGCCACCACTTTCAGGCATGCCCTTGTAGTAAATCATAGCGCAATAAGCCCATTTATCTGGTCACTTCAATGTTCCCATTGAACAATGTGAAATCCCAGTAGGTGTTTTGTAAAATTACAGTAGCTCTAAGTACTTGACATGCAGTGGAAAACAAAAGCAGGGTTATAGTATGGGATGTATATTAGCACTCGCAATGACTTGTAGGATGTTTGAACACTCTTAATCACTTTCTTTAAACTGAATTCAGCATCAGCATTGTACTTATTTTTTAATGGTTTGATCTTGGCTTGCTCAAAAACTAGGTAGGAGAGGGACACCATATGTGGGGTCTCAAACACGTGGCCCGCTTGGCGTTTGCTAGCGGCCCCCGCAGTCAGGCATAAGTGTAAAAAAATACATTAAGGGTATATAACCAGCACTTTTTTCTAGGGATATTGGTTGTAGAAAACAGTGACGTGGTGACGGCATCTTCCATGAGACCAATACTTGTAAATCCAGAAACTGGACGTAAAAAGCTTTCAAATGTGATGATGGCTAATTGCTATACAGTCAAACCCACCTATGTCGAACTCGCAAAAAACTGTCGACCAGTTCGATATACCGGGTAATTCTACATGAAAATTTGCATGAATCTGACAACAAACAAACACGACATTTTTAGAAAAGTTGTTTACTCTCGAAAAAGCGTCTGTACGTCATAAGGGACGCTCCACGTGGCTATTCACTGGCCGCTTCTTTGTTTTTCAAGGTCTCACCGGCTCATCCTCTTCCCACTTCCGGGCGGTCGACGCGGTTGCCCCCCCCCCCCCCCCCCCCCCCCCCCTCAAAAAAAAAAAAAAAAAAAAGCCAGCTTTCTCTGCAAGCTGGCTTTCCCCCAATTGATTACCGCGATGCGGGAAAGCCAGCTTGCAAAGCTAAATGGCGCTGTTGGCAGTTCGATCTATTGGGAGACGCTGCAATTTTCGTTCAACGCAACCGCATTTTTCGCTATGTATTTTGATTGCAGCTACTAGTCTCTTCACAAAGAGTTTGATACAAGGGATAGTTTTATATGATCGGGTTTAACATTATACAGAATGTGCCATTTTAATTCGAACATGACTTTAAAAAAATGGGGGCGAGAGTTACGTGGATGCCTTTTTTACTGTGTATTTGTGGGGCTCGGCGGACATAGATAAGGGGATAACCGTCACAATATAATGACTAATTAACCAAGAATTGATCATTAACTTTTTAAATATTAATTTTATAGGGCATGTCGCAATAGCAATTTTGAAGAGTGTCATTTTAAAAGGCTATTCCTAATGAAACTGTTCATGAAAGTGATGTGGCATGTGATCTAAATGAACATTTGTTTAAGCCTTACCTCTACAAGTTGTGCTCCTTTAAAAGCTTCGTGATTGCATATTTTTCAGAATGTCTAGTGATGAATCTCCGTGGCCAAAAACATCATGTGGATGTCATAGCTGTAATGTCGACGCCAGCAAAAGTGAACCACATACTGGGAGGAAAATTAAACGACCGGCGAAAGCAAGAGAAACGAAGAGCCAAGCACTAAATAAAGATGAACCAGTCGGTTCTTGGAAATGGTCTGCAGTGAAATGCAGTGTCAAGCATGCATTCTCCCACAGGTTCCCACAAAGATTGCGCACAGTGCATAGATTTATGTAACCCTATGGGTTACCCACACGGCTCCCACAGGACTTTGACCCTACGCAGCGCCTATAGGATCTCTGCAGGACCCGACACAACTCCCTTAGGTTCACACACACTGTGCGGGGACCCACGGTGACCTATACACCTACACAAACTCTGTGGGAACCCACACACCCAAACAAATTGTGCGGGGACCAATAGGGACTCGAACACCCACACAATTTCTGTGGGACCCAACGGTTTCATTACCCCATGGGTCTGCGTGTTTTCGGAGTGGGGGGCCGGTTCACGATCAGAACCATCATCACAGTTGACGTCAAAAAGGCTTTCGATTCTGTTCTACACTCAACAATCGTAAAAGAGTCACAGCGCCTCGGCGTCACTGGGAAATCTTTAAACTTCATCAAAACTTTCCTCGAAGGCAGAACCATTTCGGTCCGCCGCGGAGCCAATTGCAATGAACCCAAGACTGACCTTGCAGCTGTCCCGCAAGGCTCTGTCATGTCACCGATGCTTTTCAACATCGTGATGGCGGCCCCACCGTACGAACTAAAAAAAAATTAAAAAACTAGGGTTTACGATGTACACTGTCGACGTATCAATGTGCACCAAGAGCGAAGACATCGAGAGGCAACAAGCCACACTCCAAGCCGGCCTATACATGATTGAAGCCCACCCTCACAAGGTAGACCTCCAAGCCTCCCCAGACAAGACAAACTGTGTAACCATAGTACCCAAATGACGAGTAATGAACATTGGCGACCAACTCCATCTCGTGCTCGCAGGAGAGCGAATCCAGCCCTATACGTCTGTCAAGATTCTGGGAATTACCGTGGAGGAGACAGGCAAAGGGGGACAGATGAATTAAATACACGCTGAAGTACTGCAACTCTGTCGTCAATGTCATCAGAAGAATCGGTAACGCCGAGAGCGGTGCAACGGACGAGATCGCCAAAAGAATGGTAAAGATCATGGTAGCCTCCCGAGTCTGCTACGGAGCCCGACACTACTGGCTCACCAAGGCACAGTGGCGAAAACTTGAGTCCCTGAACAACCAAGCTATGAGGATCATCCCAGGCCTCCCTCCAGTTCACCCTGCTCGGGAAACTAAAGGAGCACGCATAAATAAACTCACTTTATGACACGGTCATTGCTCACACGGTTGCACACTTCGAACGTCTAAAGCACTAAGCAAGGACGGAAAATCCTGAAACTTCTATGGCGCGCAACAAATGGCCTCCCCGACTTTCCCGATCAACTCCCTTTTTGGGAGGATCACATGAACATTGCCGGAAACAGGCCAACTGATCGCAATGGCGACTCCCAACAGCGATCACGAATCGCGAAAGTGAACTCCAGAATGGTTG